TATCTTTTGTTTAAAACCACTACTAAATTTTAATACAAAATAAAAACTATAATTAAAACTATAAATATATTTTAAAAATTACTTATTTTTCAGTTTGGATATTAAACTTTTATTTACTTTATAACATTGTATTATATCGTGTAGTCCTTTAAGCTTTTCTGCAAACCATTATTCTTTCCTCGAACCCGGTTGTAAACCTCACTAAGCTTAACTGAAAACATTGCGTATACGCGATGTTGGTCGGGGGTTACCAACCACCCGATGAGACAGACAGCAAACCCACCCCCTGCATACATGTTTACCCGCACGAGTGTGCGTTCGGCACACGCACACTGATTCCATTAGCCGCACACATGGGCAGCTGTGCGTTGAATATTCGGAATTATGCTGACATGTTGCTGCGCCTCCCCAAAATGATGTTCTCCTGGTACGAAATCTACCACGAAAGAATGTGTACGAGTATGTGACGGACGAATACACCCCTGTAGTTCGCCGGGACTGGTCCCGAACTAGCGAAATCGCCATACACCGGGGGCTTGGGACTAACTCCCGTTCATACCACCCGCAATGTAAATTTCTATCCACTTTTACCACGGCATGTCCTAGGCGGTGGTCATATGGCGAAGTTCTGCATTACCTTTCGCCACAAAAGGGACCGATAGGTGGTCCCATATTATACCCCTTTCCGCCACAAAAGGGGCCACCTATCGGACCATCTATCGGACCACCTATCGGTCCCTTTTGTGGCGAAAAGGGGTATTAAATGGGACCACCTATCGGTCCCTTTTGTGGCGAAAAGGGGTATGAAATGGGGTTGGTGTTTTCAATACCAAAAAAGCTGAATGCTATGAAACTTCCCTAGAAAAAATACTTTTTGTTAAATTAATTTATTGTATTATAAGTAGACAATTTTTCTATTTTTTTAATTTATATTTATTGAACAAATTCCTCTGCTGACACGTTTTTGTTGAGTGCCTCATTGTTGTTATTATTTGATTTGGATTTATTTTTAAAAAATCGTTTCTTTTGCAATTGAATTGCCTTGGGAATCAATATTTCTGCATTACCAGATTCTGAAACAATATCTAAAAAAAAATAAGATTTTAGTGTTTTAAAATAAAATGAGAACAGAAACTAACTTCGGCAAGCCAAAGTTTTAATACCCTTGCAGCTTTCAGGAATAAAATTGTGACTAGAAAAGCATAAATATAAAATAAGAATAACCAACAGTTAAATGTAGACTTATTTCACGCTTTTGAAACTTGAACCGACAGACAGACGGACATGGTTAAATGGATTTACTTTATAGGTTTGAAAAGGTCTCCTTTACTGCGTAAAAAACTTCTGGACTAAATTATAATTCCCTCTGCATGGGTTTAAATATATATTTTAAGATTTTGTTATACAAGCCTGTTTACATCAAACCATGTTTTAAAAGTGAAAAGCAGAAAAAGACAGAAAGAAATAGGATTAAAGACAGATGGCATTCTAAGTAAATAGATTGAAATTGAATCAAGAAACTAAGTGTATTATAAAAAATACAGTTATAAAAATAACCTACCGTGAAGTGCACCATAGAAATGTGTAAAGGAGTTTACGGCTTTTTTTTCCAGAAAGGCCTTTAACATTAAATCCTACAACAAACTCATCCGTGAGAACCCTCCGCAAGTTTTTTAAACCCCCTTCTGGCAGCAACAACGATCTCATGGCTTTAATCTAAAAAGGAAGAAAATTTCACTAAAATATTTATATCAAAGAAAAAAAGACTTACGTAGGAGTCCTTTGCACCACTATTTCTCCTTCTCCTCTTTAACAAATCGACGAATGTGCCTGTTGCTGTTCATGGCTAAATATCACACATTATTAGGTATTTCACTTGCACAACTCATGGTGTTACTCACCTGTTGACGACACTTCAGATCACAACAAAATATAACACTTTAAATGCACAATAAGACAAATTAAATACATGTTTACAAAATTTGGCGCAAACGTTGGGCTAGTGATGGTAGCGGGGTTGGGTAGTTATGGCAATCCGTTACGATTAATATTGCGACTACCGATATCGTATAATCGATGGCAATAAAAACATTCGCTAATATTATTTTTGTTTAGTTCTATGTATATAAAATTAGGTACTTATATATTTATTTTATATATCTAAGCACCAATAAAATCCGCTTGTTATGGAAGAAAAGAAAACGTTTTGCTACTGAACCACCGCTATTGTTAAAAATATTGCTGCAGCTAAATTGCTCATTATTAAATATAAATAATATAAAAAGAAATAAAATTCTATCATTTATTATTTTATTTTATCTCATTATCAAGTTTTTATTTTATTATTTTAACTTTTTTTAAATTTGTTTTTTATATAAACAAAATAAAGTTGTATTCGTTATTAAAATCATTATATACTTGTCAAAAATTTCATTTTACAATTTTTTTAACTCATATAGAAGTGTTCACATAGAAGTGTTCACTCTCCGATAACTCTTTTGCTCTTGTAAAAAATACACACGCCACCTATTGACCCTTAAGGGACCACTGGGTGGTCGATCCCTTTTCTACCCCGAAAGTGCCACCGGCCCCCTTGAGAACTACAGGGACGTGTCGCCTGAATACACATGCGGGAATCGGCTGAGTGTGCGAGATGCTGCGACGCACACAAGGACGAACCCAAAGACACAGGAGCAGGCTCTCTTTTTCGTTGATAGAGGGCGCGAGTGTGTGAGTGAGTCGCGACCTTGAGCAGGAGTAGCGCACTTAATGACGCCGCAAGAGCAACCCCTAAATCACAAACCATTTACAGTTACGGCCAAAATAAAAAAACATAGAAATTTATTAAATAATAAAAAATTATTTATTAAAAAACAAGTATACAATTGAATGTAGGTATGACTTTTGAGTAATAGAAATAAATATTAATAAGAATTAAGAAATCATGTTTTCAGAATGTGCTAAGAAATATATAAATTATTTTAATTAATTTATATAAATATATAATGATCTTTTTACGTAAATTAGAAGCACCACAAAAACATTTTCCATAGAAATATCACCAGATATCAACATGTTTTATTAAAATCTATAAATGTTGACGATTTCAAGTTGACTTTTGGTAGTGTTTACTTTATATAAACTTTTATAATACCCGTGACATAATGCGAATATGAAAACCTAATTTGCGCTATAATTTTGACCGCAACTATAGCTAAAACCACCCCGGGGGTGGGTTCGTCGCTGTAAAGACGTAGTAATGGACGCTCCGGCTGGCGATTCTGTTCGCCTGGTGCACTAAGGTTGCTCCTAGTTACGACGTAACTGTTAACCGGTTTGGCCCGTCGTCCGGACTGCTCTCGCATGTTACCGTTATGTAATGGCCTCGACAGTGGTAACGTCAAAGAACCCAGCCCATTCGGTGGGTGGGCGGTCGGATGGTCGGGCAGAGGCCGTATACTCCGCCCCGTAGATCACGCCCTAGTGGGCGACATGCGCAGTGGCTGCGCACTGCGATGGGCCACCCACTCGGATTCCTGGTCGCCTGGTAATCCTTGGGCGTTACCTTAAGAAGGGTTAAACCGCTGATGGACACGTGTCTGTCTATTTGAATGTGCTGCCGCCGCTGCTGCTGCAGAGGTTCTTGGCCGGGTTCTTGGCAAAAATCACAAAGAACCAGTCCGGCGGTGCGACGCTCGTTTTGGGCGCCACCCAGTGCCCGTACTCGCTAATTGAAACGCTCCGCAGGACGCGGAGGTTGCCGGTGCCTGTGACCCACCCACTTGGGCGGGCAGAATCGCGACCCGCCATCCGCAGGGGCGTAGTCCCTGCGACCGAGTTCCTGCCCCAGTGGTTGTCAGTGGTGCGAAAAGTCTGGATTGGATTTTTGTATGCCCTATAAAGCATAAAAACCACTGAAACATTGTCGGATTTTTATTTATCCTTCAATCAAAAACAACAAAAATCATTAAAAATAGTTTAAATTTTGTTCAAAAATATTAAAAATAAATTAAAATTAAAATATTTATTTTTAAATATTGGTTAAATAAATATAAATATATTAAATATAGCTTTTTTAATATAGCTTAATTATTTATCATATCTTCTATTAGTCGCAAAACAGCCAGATTGGCAGTACTGAGGGTTGTAGAGCCGAGGACACGCCACTGCCATCGAAACCCACCCCTAAAGTAAACTGTGGCAATGTCAAGCGACACACCCCCTCGCACACACACACACAGGCTGACATCCGAGTCCTTTCGATTTCATTTCGTCCGGGAAGTCCTCTGAATCACACATTCCACACTCCTCTTTCAATTGCTGAGCGCCTGGTAGTAGACTTCGAGCGGAATTTCCTTTCGTTTGACTGTAAGTTTTATTTTGAGAACGCGTATTAAATATGTAATTCAAAAATATACTAATTTTAAAATAAAAATAAAAATGCACCATCATAGGTTTAAGAAACCTAAATAAAAAATTAAGAACAATGAAATTTAAAATACATTAACAATTTATAAGGATCATACATATTGAAATCGTAGGATATTTCACGAATGAAAAACAATTTGTTTGTAACCAAAAGCTGTTAAATTCGATAAAACCTTAAGAAAACTTATTTTTATTGAAATTACTAGCTATTTTAATTGTTTAAATATCACTTTTAGAATCTTGATTTTGTATTTATAAATAAAAAGTTTTACAGAGGTTTGTTTGTTTTAGTTTGTGAAACTTGGGAGCTTTTCCAACTGATTTTACGATAAATTTGGAGACTTAAAGCGCCACATTTTCGTTTTCAGTGAAACAAATATAGAGGTAGACGATAATTCTTAACTTATTTAAATAATTTAAATTAAAACATTCTTCGCGCCATATTAGTGTGACCAGCCATGTGATGTCTGCATTTTCTGTCCTCTTTGTTACGTCGTTTTGGTATTGTGGGCGGGAAAGAAAGCCGGCACACACCCGATAAATAAAAAACCGAATAACAGCCGACGAAAACCCTTTAGAAATTATGGAGCTAGCCGATTTCCACATACGCGAGAGCACCCAGACTGTTTGAGCAGCTGGCCTGAGTGCCGGCTGCCCGCATCCGACCCCCGGGAACCCACTCCGTCGGACGGCCAGAACAGAAGAGCTCCGAACTCCAGACGCACCGCACCGCACGCACATCTGGCAACCGAAAGCGACTGTAAACAAACCCGGGATATGGTAATTAGCCGATTCTGATTTGGTGCAAAAACTTGTTTCAGCGCCGCGCCGGTTGTTGAACTCTTGACACTTGACTGAGAATAGATTACCGCCCGCGGGTTCAATAGGAATTTGGCGAATCGGCCGAGTCAGCAGTTAGCACCACTGGGAATTGAATTCAATCGAACATAATCATCGAATCGCGCCACATGTATGCCTACAAGATGGGTCGAGTTCCGGAGCTGGTTATATGGTAAGCACTCGGATTGCCACTACAGATTCCCACTAAAATCCCCCTTCGTCCACAGCTCCTTCATCGTGGTCAGCCTGCTGGTCATACACTTCTTCTCGGATCTGCTGAGAGCCTCTTTGGGCGGCTACTACAACCAGGATGTGACCCTCTCCCAGCTGGTCGAGTCCCAGAGCTCGGACTACGCCTGGCTGCTCAAGCTCCTGGTCAATTGCTTCGGCTACAGCTGCGTCTTTGTGCCGGGCTATCTGATCTACAAGTATGTGGGCAGGATCAACTACCTGGAGCGGGGCAACAAGACTTTTCTGCACAGAGCCATCAACATGTGCATCACGGGAAACTCGGGACACGATCAACTGGATGCAGGTGGCAGTTCCGCGGACAAGGATCGTCCGGCGGCTTCGACGGCCCCCAAGCGAACGAGTTCCCAGGAGGCTGTGCAGCTACTTTGGTGCTTTGGCGGCCTCATGATCTCCTATCTCACCTGGGGCGTGCTGCAGGAGAAGATCATGACGCAGCACTATCTTAATTTCGCCGGAGAGAGTGCCAAGTTCAAGGACTCACAGTTTCTGGTCTTCTCCAACCGCTTGCTGGCCTTCCTCGTGGCTCTGGCCTACCTGCAATGGCAGCCCTCGCCTGTGCGACATCGCGCTCCGCTGTACAAGTACTCCTACGCCTCCTTCTCGAACATAATGAGCGCCTGGTTCCAGTACGAGGCCCTGAAGTTTGTCAACTTTCCCACCCAGGTGCTGGCCAAGTCCTGCAAGATAATACCCGTGATGCTGATGGGCAAACTCATGTCGAAGGCCAAGTACGAGAGCTACGAGTATGTGACTGCTTTGCTCATCTCGCTGGGCATGATATTCTTCATGAGCGGCTCCTCGGACAGCAGCAAGGCCAGTGGAGTGACCACGCTCACGGGCATCTTCCTGCTCTCCATGTACATGGTCTTCGACAGCTTCACCGCCAACTGGCAGGGATCGCTCTTCAAGAGCTACGGCATGACGCCGCTGCAGATGATGTGCGGCGTGAACCTGTTCTCCTCCGTCTTCACTGGAGCCTCGCTGTCGATGCAGGGAGGATTCATGGACTCCTTGGCATTTGCCACAGAGGTAGGTGTATAAAAAAGACATCGACAAAGGAAACGAAAAATTTAAAACACGAATATTGCATTAGTTTGTGCTGTATAGATTAAAGAACCTGCATCCGCACTTGCTTAAAACTATAAATGTTTGATCTAGACCAACTGTATACATTGTTTTGTTTATCAAACTCTTTTTTTTCGTTACATTTATAGCATAGTTAAACAGATAGCTCATATCACGTACTTTTTATTTATTTCTAGCATCCCAAGTTCGTGTTTGACATGGTTGTGCTTTCCGTTTGCTCAGCGGTCGGCCAATTGTTTATCTATCACACAATTGATGTCTTCGGCCCAGTTGTGTTTACCATTATAATGACACTGCGACAGGTGAGTTAATTTTTTTGGTAGAGGAATGGGGTTTGTATACTCAACTGCCTGCTCACGATACATTTTACTCTGCTCCCCACAGGCCGTGGCCATCATGCTCTCCTGCTTCATCTACCAGCACAGCATTTCGGTGCTGGGCATCTTCGGTGTTCTGATTGTCTTCGTGGCCATCTTTCTGAGGGTCTACTGCACCCAGCGACTGAGGGCTATACGCAAACGGGCCGAGGCTAACAAACCGAAAATGGCTGTCTAAAAATGGGACGTGGACACGCCTCGAATGCAACGCACAGACTTCCTAGCTCAGCCTATTTATTGTACTGATAGTAGCTCATGGTAAGTTCCACTTCCGCAGACCAAACAGAGGCTGCCTGGACTCCACAAATATTGTACAGTTTTGTTTTACTAGTTCTAAGTTGAATGTATACTTGTAAGCGTAAGCGTAGACGCCTAACGATCGATTTGTGTGCTTAAATAAACTTTTTATATGCTTAAGTAATGCAAAAAGTTTACTTTATAATAGGAAGTTTACCTATTTATTTATTCGATTTATTTTAATAAGTAAGATTCAATCGATTATACCCACTTTTCGTTTTAACATATTTCCAAGAATTCGCTTTCAATTTTCCCATGTTTATTAAAGCCTTTTTTGGTTAATTGTATATCTATAAAATGGTTTTACTAAACTGGCATAATTTTGAAACAAAGAAATAGCTGGCAATGTCTTGATTTCACTTAGCCAAATTTGACTATTGATTGATCAGATGATTCATATTCTCATTTCATACTCGTTTTAGTAAAATGTAAATATGTTAAACATCTTTCTTAATTAGATAATAATTCCAATACAGAGTGTTATAAATTGGGTTGTCACTTACTTCTTTCAAAAAAATAAACTGTCTAAAATTGTGAGAAAAAATTGATTAATGTGAAAAGCATCCGTGCATCCCCTTCAAACTAATTAGCCCGACTCCCATATTAGCGACACTCAGTGCAGTCGTCTAGCGCGACATTGACCCACTTTCGGGTTACATTTTTGGCAGAAACGTGGTTTTGGCCAAAACAGCGATGGGTGAGAGCTTCCATCGCTTGGTTTAGGTTCAGGTCAATGCACATGAGTCGCCGAGTGTAACATGTTTTTTCCTCGCTATTGTTGTGCCATGTGGGCGATTATACTGATGATGATGATGATGATGAGGCTGGCTATGCCGGTGGCTCAGGTGGGCGGCCTGAATTACCATATCAAAACAATGCCCTGGAAAAATTCGAGCCAATAAAAAAGGGCATTATGCAATATCGCCGGTGTCTCGTCTGCCTTCTAAGGGAATAGCAACCAATTTGCCAAATTCGAGTTGGTTTTTTTTTTTGCACTCGGGCAAGGTGATAAGTTGGGGCGTACTCCGCATTAGAGGAATAGTTTGTGCCCATCCCGCCGAGCGTGCAGAAGTTTTTTAGCAATCGAATCGCGTCTCTAAAATGCAACTGTTCCTTCTACTCCTCCTGGGAGCCTTGGGCTATTCGTTGGCCTATCCGCGCAGCTACAGTTACGAGTATCCCCGCAGAAGGGCCTACTCAGCCTCGTCGTACGCCGGTAATTCGTACAGCTCCCTGGGAGGTCGGAAAGCCAGGGAGGAGAGCACCACCACCACCAGTACCACCACCAAATCGGACAAGGAGAATGCCAAGTTTGCCGGAGCCTCCAATCAGGAGTTGGACGAGGTCGGCGATGAACGCACCCTGCTGCTGAAGAAGAAACTCAAGAGGCTGGCGAGGCCCTACCTCGGAGGATATGGCGGATATGGGGGCTACGGAGGATACGGTGGATATGGCGGATACGGAGGATACGGCGGCGGTGGCCCCTGCTCCCCGTTTGGCCGCGATGCCAAGGGCGGGCAGAAGGATCCCGATGAACAGGGTCGCTTTCTGTTCGACGTGAATGTGGTGAAAGTTTATCCCGGCGGATGCCGCGGCTACGGAGGAGGTGGACTCGGTGGACTTGGTGGTCTTGGCGGAGGTCTCCTGTCGGATCCCCTCCCTCCTGTTCAACCTATTCCAGTGCCCGTGCGTCCGTATGCTCCGTTTGCCACCTGGCTGTCGCTCTTTGCTCCGGGAATTTTGAACTCGGCCACAGTGCCTGGCGTCCCAATTAGAGATCCGCTCAGGGATCGTCCCGCTGCGGATGCCCAGAGCGATCCTGAAGTGGATCCCAACTATGCGGCTCCTCCGCCAGTGCGACGACCGGTTCCGAATCGTGTGTACTACGACTCCGCCGGAGCGGTAAGTTTATCAAAAAAGGAGTAAATCTACTGGCTTAGGAATTATCAAAATAAATATATTTAATTTTATACATTTCCTCTTATTTTGTAAGCCTCCTGTGACACCTGCGCAACTTGTTGGAGGCGTGGCCACTACCGTGAACGGAATCATTCAGCAATTGACGGGTCAGGTGCAGCCAGTTTACCAAACAGGAGCCTATCGATCAAGAGATCAGCGAAGCAGCTATGGATAGTCAGCTAGAAACGAACTTTTATTTAGCGATATGTAATACTTTTAATGTAAATAGTTTATAAGAAATAATAAGATCGATTTTACGAACGAATTACGTTTAAATGGGGAACAATTTACTAAACGTAAGCTAATAAACTTTATTTGTATGTAAAGTTCCGCTTTACGACAGCTCTTTTTGGACTTATTTAAAAAAAGAATTCCTATGATAACTCTCAAGATATAAACAAAAACTCGAACATAGCATTAAAGTGTTCTTTAAAAAACTTTAAAAAAATGTATCCATACACTCAGAAAAAAAATCGCCCTTAATTTTAGAAAATCGCCCGTGATTTCAAATCGCCATTGAATTAAGAAAATTTTTCTAGATTATAGAAAAATTTTCTTAAGTTTATGGAAATTTGCCATAAAATTTTTTATAAAATGAATAAGAAGAAGAATAGTTGATTTTTTTCTTGGATTAATGGCGATATTTTCTTGGATTAATGGCAATATTTTCCGGACTTTTTTCTTGAGTTAATGGCGAAATCGCCTTTGATTCTTGAAAATAAATACCTATTTTTTAGGAAAGTTGTGTAATTTTTTAGTGTTCTAGTATGGTGGCCTAGCTGTTAGAGGCGTTCGGACACTAAACATGTGTACAAAAGTCGCCGCGGAAACCGCGGTTCGACTTCACGCAGGGACGAGTCTGATTTTTATACCCTTGCAGAGGGTATTATGATTTCAGTCAGAAGTTTGCAACGCAGTGAAGGAGACGTTTCCGACCCCATAAAGTATATATATTCTTGATCAGCATCACAAGACGAGTCGATCTAGCCATGTCCGTCTGTCCGTCTGTCCGTCCGTCTGTCCGTCTGTCCGTCTGTCTGTTTCTACGCAAACTAGTCTCTCAGTTTTTGAGCTATCGGGATGAAACTTTCCCAAAAGTCTTCTTTCTATTGCAGGTAGTATATATGTCGGAGCCGACCGGATCGGACAACTATATCTTATAGCTCCCATAGGAACAATCGGAAAAAAAAAACTTTAAAAAATTCTAGCTTCGGTGTTTTTTGAAATATTACCTTCTACTTTTGGGGATGTTATTTTTTAAATATATCTGAATTTCGAATTAATTTTTTAAAAAATCGGACTACTATATCATATAGCTGCCATAGGAACGATCGGAAAATTAATGGAAAACTAATAGGAAATAAATTCTAGCTTCTTTGGTTTTTATTGTATTATCTTCTACTCTAGGATATGACTCTTTATAAATATTTCCGAATTTCAATTTTAATTTGATCAAAATTGGACGACTATATCATATAGCTGCCATAGGAACGATCGGAAAATTAATGAGAAATATTAGAAAATTGAACATTTTTGCGATTTGTTAATTAATAGGAATGATCTGCAAGGGTATATAAGCTTCGGCTGGCCGAAGCTAGCTTCCTTTCTTGTTTTTTTTAATAATTATTTTTTTTTTTTTTTGTATAAAAAATCTTTTGTTTTGGTTTTCCATTCACTAAATTGTTAAAACTGTTGTTAACAAGATTTAATTAAAGTAATTGTAATTGGTATACCAATAATACGACCGTTAACACTTTAGGCATCTTAAGCCATTGCATTGCAAGAAGCACGCGTGGCCGAGTGGTTAAGATGTCTGTCTATGGTGTGAGCGGTCGCGAGTTCGAGTTCAGGTCGAGGTAAGAATTTTTCCTTAAGTCTTTTATATGTTTACAAAAAGTTTTTTCTGTACTTAAAATGCATTGTAATTAATAAACATTTATAATAAATTTGAATTTAAATTAAATAAATAAATAAAAATGTTTATGATTGTCACTAAAACATGAAAGGTTTCCTCTTAGTTAACAAACCTAAATGCAAAAATGATAAAAAAATCAGTCGGACAAAATTTAAAAAAAAGGTTATAAAAAAATTTTTCTTAATTTTAGGGTTTTTTGCCGTAAAATTCAGAAAAATTGGTAATGATTTTTAGAAAGGCGAAACCGTAAATTCAAGAAAATTATTTCCCATTATTAATGGCGAATCGCCGTTGGCTGAAAATCATAGGCGATTTTCTTGAATCAATGGCGAATTTCTTGAATCAATGGCGATTTTTTTTATGAGTGTAACAAAACAATTTTTTAGGAGTCTAGGTGTCTACCAGGAACTACCATCATTGTTTTGTAAACTTGTGTAATCCTCGTAAAATTTTGATGATTTGGTGATTTTAAAAGACGTCCCAAATAACTGAAAAATCACTGGCCATTGCCCAATTTAGCATCGCCATTTGTGGACAAACTACCGCCCAGAAAGATTAAGACAGGGAATTCTCCAGACAATTTCCAGGCGATGGATTAGTCAGGCCTGTGCATAAATCTCGGATCTATGGCCATTAAATTTATGCACGTCGCGTCTGCTTCATAAAAATCAGCGAGAAAAGAAGCCACAAAGGCAGCGCCAAGGACAATATTCCCAGTCAGAGAAACCGGATTTCGAGTGTCTTAAGTACAGCTTATTATTTCTGGTTTCTGTTTGTTTTTTTGTGTATTTTACAATCTACAAAGTGCGAATCACAAGTACTTTACTAGTCAGTTTAACGAGATTTAGGAGATTTTTTCAGCCGAAAAAGCCGCCGCCTCCATAGCCACCGCCTCCGTAGCCACCGCCTCCGTAGCCACCGCCATTGTAGTATCCATTGGAGTATTGCGACTGACTGTACTGGCCGCCATAGGATCCGCCCTGGTTGTAGTACGATCCGCCGCCCGGGTAGAAACCGCCTCCATGGTGGTGCGGCCTGTGTCCAAAGCCGGAGTAACCTCCTCCTGGATAGTAGCCACCTCCGTATCCTCCACCGCCGTAGCCGGGATAACCGGAGTAGCCGCCATGTCCGCCCGGATAGCCACCCGCATAGCCACCAGGATATCCGCCGCCTCCTCCAAACCCGCTATACAGGCCGCCGCCCACTCCGATGCCGGCACTCAGGCCCACACTGCCCCCGAATCCGCCGCCCAGGAGGCCCAGGGTGCGACCCTCGGCCTTGACGGGCGCCGGAGCCGCCTGACCTTGACCGGCGATCAGCAAAAGAGCCAGCATCTGTAGAAGAATTACCGGAACCAATTAAATGCATACCAATCAGAGCGGAAATAGCAGTTGGACTTACACAACTCACACGAAGCACAGTCATTGCGATATCTCGAGCGCTTCTTGGACGAAACTAAATTGCAATTGTGGCGGGCCCGCCGCTTTTATACCTCCCTGTTCAATCTGGCCAAGAAGCTCAAGTACGCGCCACGCATTGCCAAGTGATTCTACGCAAATTGCAGAACAAACACGGCGAAAGCGAAACCAGTTTGTGACGAAATCTCGGAATCCCCCAATCAAGTCGGAGCAGAGACAATTCACCTGGCGATGCTTCACTGGGCCGCCAGAACGCGTTAATTTCGTGAAGCCACAGCCCCAAAACTAAATTATCATTTTTTTTCGAGGGTTACCTTTAGTTGCCGACCGATCAAGATCATGGAAAACCCAATAAAAATAATCACTGAAGCGATCGCATACTACAATCGCCCGGCGATTTTCAAGATCAACTGGAAAAGGCAAAACTACGACGATCAATGTGTACTCTAACCCAATGATGACGTTGCAACTTTGGAATAAAATATTGAAGAAATGGGAACTTTAATTTGGTTATTATAAATATTTTGGGTCAGGACCAAATTCTAAAACATATGCATTAATTTTAATTGAAATTTATTTATATTTACATATACAGTTAAAATAAATTAAATAAAAATAAAATTTTTTGATAAACAAACAATAATTTAATATTGTTGTGTGTTTTGGGAAATTCACTTTCACCTATGGTAATGATTATTTTGATCAAATTTGTCAAGTTACCTTGAATACCTTCAGCATCAACTAAATCTTCTGACAACATGCAAAACAAATGACTTAGACAACAAACTTCAGCGAAGAACGTGCAGCGAAGCAGGTCGGGATGAACGATATGGCCAGCCCGCATTTGTTTGGCTCATTAGCACTTGTTACTGCTGCTATTCCGGCAGATCTAGCTACATGACTAACTATGTCTCAGATATATACATATATCTGCCCAACTCCTTTTGTTTATTTTGCTCAATTGTTACGCCCTCACTTTCGTTTTCAGTTTATTCACCTCCAGTTGACGTCAGCGGAGTTACCAAAGTGAGACCAACCCACATTGCGACTAGTCAGGAAATTGTAGTTAGATTCGATGACAGCGTGGAAAAAAGTGAGGATGTTAGACTTTGGTAATTGTACTTAGGTAAATTTATCAAGTTTTTTGAAGATGGAATTTAAATGAATTTTAAAATTTAAGTCCATAATACATTAAATTAAAGTGGTATTACCAACAACCAAATTGTTTAAAATTATATAATATCTTAGTTTGTATTACTTAATATTATCGATCATCTAAAATATATACTTTTTGAATTGAGTAAGGTTAATGAACCACAATAAGTATTTACAATATTCAAAGTTCTTTAATCCAAGCTCCAAGTGACTCTGTACTAATGATTATAGTCTCGCATTTGTTCTATAATTATGCCTAATCTCATTATTGTAATTACAGCGAAGTTTACTTCCGTTTTTCGGCGACTATAAGAATGGCAAACTTTAATCATCAAACATTGAGTTGTTTGCCAGCCATGAAGGTGGGAGTACAATAGACTTTTAGCTGCTGAGACTAAGTCACTAATTCGGATTCTTTAAAAAATATTTTGCAGTACTTCGCACTGTCTTTCCTGTTGAGCTGCCTGATGGCTGGAGTTCTGAGTGCCCCCCAATTTCCTGGGTCAGGATTTGGCTACGGATTTTCGCCCTATGGAGGCTACGGAGGATATGGAGGAAGCTATTCTTCGGCCAGTGCCGCAGCGAGTAGCAGTGCAGGAGGATATCAAGGAGGATTCGGTTATCCAGGATACGGGGGCTACGGAGGATTCGGCGGAGGATATGGCGGTGGCTATCGCCAGCAGTACAATCAGTTTAGCAACTACAACAACTACGGATCTTCTGGCTACGGCGGCTATCCATTCGGCAGATGAGTTGGGAAAAAACGACGCGTAGCTGCTGGAAACTTCTGCCCCTGTTTTGTTTGATTTCTTTATTTGGCTTTTAATGTGATGTGGAGGTCAATAAAACGTAAATACCCCAAAATGATTCACCGCCGAGTGCATTAATTTTTCTATTTGCATGTTTGCTATAGGATTTCATTTAAAATGCTGAGCATACATTTTGGAAAAGGCGTAATCTCCCGTGATTTTATTTCTCATTTTTCAAGCTTCTAAACTAGCATATTTTTTTTGGCACGTTTCCCATTGACATTCATTGGTTTTCAGCTCATTCATTTCGAACATTTCTTTTCTCATACCCCTATTCTTCTCTTTTTGCTCTCAAAAAACCTGAAATTTTCAGGGGCAAATCATGTGCATAAGGCAAATATAAACCACTGCCTGAAGTTCACAGCGGCAGCAACAACAATGGCGAAGACAAACAAGACCTCTTCAACGGCTGATTGCATAAGGGCGATTCGAATCGCTCACAAAACGCGTCAGCGAGATAAAAACGCTTCGACTGCCGCGCAGCCGCTTCAATTGATCACGCGTCGTTGTCCAAGTCCAAGCCAAAAGACCAGCTTCGTCATCGGCCCACACAGTTGAACTTGAAGTTTTTACAACAAGATATAATAATTTTAAAAACATAAAAAAACCTGTGTCTATTTCCAAAACAGATATAATCAATTAAAGTCGCGTTAAAACAGCATAAAAAGACAAAATGCAAATCATTGTAAGTGATAGATTGTGATGGATTTTAATTGGATAAGAAATAATCATAATTTTTTAACTGAGTGCTTAAGAAGTGAATTCAAATAAATGAAAATCACCAAACAATATACAATTGGATCTACCCGGAATACATTTTTTAAACATATGCTGCAATCGGCTTCAAAATGTTAACTCCAACTTATCTTGGATAAACTTTTTTTCCCCTAAAATTTAAAGAATTCTGAAAAAAATAGTTACATTTGTACTTTTTAATAGTCAAAGTGAATTCCGAAATATGCCCTTTTATATTTTTAAAGCTTAATTATTTTATAAATATTAAAAATACAATTTCAGCGTTCACCTGTGCTTCTCTTCCTGGGAATATGCTTATTTTTCATCCTGCCAAATGCATCAGCTGGAAAAATCAAGTTGCTGGCATTTAAGGGACCTCACGCTGGATTTGTGGGTCTTAAGGTGCGCACTTCCAAGTTGCTGGGCCTAAAGAGCGGTTTGGTCGGTGGAGCAGCTGGATTTGGACTCGGAGCAGCTGTGGGCGCTAAGTTGGGCGGATTAGCAGCAAGCCATGTTGGTGGAGGTGGTGGCGGCTTCGGAGGTGGCTATGGAGGAGGCTATGGCGGAGGATACGGTGGAGGATTTGGAGGCGGCCATGGCGGTGGCTACGGAGGAAGCAGCGGCTACGAACACCACGAATATCACCAGGAAAGCCATTACAGCAGCGGAGGATCTGGCTATGGGGGTGGAAATATCGGAGGCGGCCCTTGGGGAAAATAGGTCTTTAATAATTTAATTAGGTAATAATCATTTCCTTGCCATCAAAATGAAACATTATTGTTATTTAGTTATAATTCATTTGTCCATTTAACTAAGTAAAGAAATATTCAAATTTTACTTGTAAACCATTCACAATTGATGCTTATTTACATGTATTTTACTTTTGGGGCGACATCTTATGGTGGCTATGAATACTAATTGAAACAAAAACCAAGTATAGATGGCGCCACTTTTGTTCGAACTGGCTCGAAACTGCAAACAGCGGCCATCTGGGCATGAGGCTCAATGGTCTAGGGGTATGATTCTCGCTTTGGGTGCGAGAGGTCCCGGGTTCAAATCCCGGTTGAGCCCGTTCTAAACTTTTTTTTCAACAATTGAATATTTTATTTTTATTTTATTCAACTAAGATAAGTATAGAAAAAAAAATTCAACAATAATTTCAACGTCTCTTAAAGATGCCACCACCAAAGCCGCCATAACCTCCGCCAAATGAACTGGCAGAGCTGAAAGAGGAGGCAGAGGCATAGTTCTGATAACCACCGAAACCGCCTCCATAGCCACCGCCGAATCCACCCAGACCACCGAATCCGCCCTTCCAGCCGTGCTTAATGGGTACAATCACTGGCTGGGGCACTGGGACTGGAATCGGTTGAGGAATGGCCACGGGAACTGGAACGGGCTGGGCCACTGGGATGGGCTGGGCCACAGGATAGGGGACAAAGTTGTTGTACACAGGTGCATAGCCTCCGCCCAGCTTGCCACCAAAACCATGGGAGTGTCCAAGTCCCAGGCAAAGCAGCAGAGTCAGCCCCAGAATCGTTATCTGAAAAGGGGAAGAACATGTCACCCAAGGTTTAGATATGAAAGTAACACAGAACTCACCTTGCTTTGCCTCATGTCGTCTGTTGGATCTAAGCAGTGCCAAGTTAAGAACGGCCGTATTTATATCAACCTCTAGCACTTCCTGTACTTCCTTTTCTCGTCGAGTTCAAAGAACTTACATAAACTTGATCCACAACCTGTTTCGCGAACCTATCAATTTTTATTGTGCCAAAACTTAGTCGCAGCAACTAACAGCTAAATATAACAAATCGTGAGAAAAACATCGAATTCGGTTAAGTTCGGTGGGGTTGAAGGTCGTACATCTGTCGAGTGTTCCGGGACAATGTGGGCGTTAGTTTTTAAGAACATTTGCTATAAAAACTGAAACAATCGATGGCTAAGCAAGTCAGTCAAGTTCAAGACGAACTAGAAACATGGTCAAGATTAGCTATTCGGTGAGTGGTGGCAAATTATCCCGATGATCGGATGATTTCTAATGGATTTGTTTATCATTTTATTAGCTGGTGGTGCTCCTCTCGCTCTGCGCCTGCTCCTATGCCCAGTATCAGTATCCACAGCAGCGTCCTTCGCCGGCAACTGAAGGTCAGCCTACTGGTGGACCGGTGGACAATCGAATCCTTGGAAATCTCCTAGGTGGAGGTGGAGGACTTCTTGGAGGAGGCGGCGGTGGTGGTGGAGGACTCTTTGGCAACCTGTTGGGCGGTCTTTTGGGCGGCAATCGTCCCCAGCCCCAGCCCTATCCCGTTCCAGTTCCCGCCTATGGTGGCGGATTCGGTGGTGGATACCCAGGCGGCTTCGGAGGTGGCTATGGAGGAGGTCTTCCTGGTGGCTACCCCGGCGGCTTTGGTGGCGGCTACGGCAACCCCTACGGCGGTTATTATGGCTAAAGCCATCAGTTGTTGGACTTTCCCAAGTATTATTTGATTTTTAAGTTGTTGACATTGACCATTAAATTAAAATTCATTTAAAAAAAACCCGTCCGGGTTGTTTTCATTTTGGCCGACCATTTGACACAAGGGGATGTAGCTCAGATGGTAGAGCGCTCGCTTAGCATGTGAGAGGTACGGGGATCGATGCCCCGCATCTCCAAGAGGATTTCATTTTTTTATTTAATTTTTTTTAAATTAATTAAAGTTAATTTTTTAAATTTTCACTTTAATTTTATCAATGTTGTGGCACATTTCTTTAAGTTTAGCAGTTATAGTTACGTATAATCTGGTAGCACTGAAGATAAACATTTATGTTTAAATTTTCCTAAACTAAAGTGCTTTTGCTTGTTTATTTGCAAATTTAATTTTAGTTTTTTGCAAATTATTTGCGCTTCCACATGACTGTAGAAACTTAAATGTGGAAATGGCTTCTCATCGAGCAAGCGGCTCAATGGTCTAGGGGTATGATTCTCGCTTTGGGTGCGAGAGGTCCCGGGTTCAAATCCCGGTTGAGCCCGTCTGATATTTTTGCAACTTAATTATAAACTTTTCTAAATTAATTAAACTTTTTTAGTTTCTTCTAAGATAATTTAAAAAAAAAATAAATATAAAAAGTTAATTTCCAACTGGAGATGCGGGGCATCGATCCCCGTACCTCTCACATGCTAAGCGAGCGCTCTACCATCTGAGCTACATCCCCGTTGTGGCAGTCCGTGTCAAAAGACCTACTTGTGAGTCATCAAAGGTCTAAAATACTTCTGTTTTGGACATTTTACTTCGCTGATTGCCAACACAACTTGTTTCTTGGCCAAGATATCTGCTTTCAACCTTGAGTTCTTGAAATAAGATAAGATTCGAGCAAGGCGGCCGCTTTGAAACAAACTTATGCATTTAATTTCCGTTTCCGGTCAGTGAAAGTTGCCCGAAAGAAAGCACAAACACCTGGCAAATGAGTCTGGGGTCCGCTTTTCCTTGTTGTCCCAGCACAAACACAAATAAACTCCAGGACAAATGCATATGAAGAAGGAGGAGTCGACGCCTTAACATATGGAGTGGCAGATTCCGGTGGCCAGTTTCAGATCCCTTCACTATCTGCACTTTCACACTTCTGTTTATTCAACTGTCGCTCGGCTGTTTGCCTCTGCCACGCCCTTGGGCATGGGCAAAGCTCTATTATTATTTTCGCAAGTTATATAAAAATAATAACGGGAGCGGACACGGTGGAGCTGACCAGGCCAATGGATGGCCATCCATTATGCTGCCGGGCATTTATTTGCCAAACAATTGAATCTCTCCCCCAGCTCCTTGGGCAGCTTGCAAGCAACCACTTCATCAGCCATCCTCGTCTGCAGCTATCTTATGGTTTATGATGGAATCAAAACAAATGCCGGAGCATCGTGGCTTCAGCTTCTCCTCGTCCTTCAGCTGGCGAGGATGAGTGTGAGTGTGATGATGATGAGTTTGTTTATGCAGATTGCTTGTGGAGTTTTTACTTTGGTGTTAATGGATAAATGGACATGTGAGTGGGTAACCCTTTCTGGGGATTTTTCAGCAAAACTGAGCCACTTTCGAAATCTAGTTGGTAATGTAAACAAAATGATTTTAATTGCACAGCTGAATGGGTTTCGTTGAAATTTATTGATACGAGGCGAGGGCCAAGTTCTACATTTTATTTTTAGCTTCTTTGTGGTTAATACATAAATTGATATATTTTAATTTGAAACTAATTGAGATGTTTAAGTTTAGTGTTAGACAATTGGTACAGTTTTTTTGTGCAGAAATTTGGGTTTGAGTGCTTAGATTTTATCTTTTTTTTTGACGCACACATTTCAATTAAAATTGTATTGTTTTCTTTTACTTTGTCTGCCCTGTTTACTTAGGCGAGCGTTTCCTCCGGCTTCTTGTTTTCCCCGTTCATCCCAGCTGCGGCAAGGGTATTGGATATGGTCCTGGCCGCTGTCCAAGTCCTGCTCCTGGTCCAGGATAGCCGTTGGCACTGGCCGTTGCTGATACCGTGCCCACTGTGGAGGGCGGCGACATTCCGGGAGGCGGCAGAGGCAGGGGCGTGGCCGGTCTAAGTGGCGATACACCACCATATCCATATCCATAGCCCAGAGGATTGCCGGCTGAGGCGGAATTCTGATCACTTTGGTAGATATAGACATTGCTGTTCCCCTGAGCCTGCTGCTGATTCAAGGGCATGGTGTAGAATCCTGCAGGAGTTGCATAATAACCAGGTTGGGGACCAATGACCGACGGATTGCAGCCGTAGACGGGACAATTGTAGTACCCGGTTATAGGATAAGCGGGCCCGGCAAACATCGGATCCGGATTGTGGTAGGCCATCCAGCGATTGCGCCATCGGCGGAACAAAGTGCCCAGAAAAAAGAACGATCGTCCATCAATGGGCTCTGGTCCCGAATGCTGATCCTCCACATCCACATCCCTTTCGGTCTCCTCGGAGCCACTGCTATTGACCAGGATCAGCAGAAATACAAACTGGAGCACTGACATCTTCCCAACTGCATCAATTGAAGTCTCTCGGTGAACTACTTTTAATCCGATCTCAGCTTCGACTCTGGGAGTCCCATGAAGACAGGCTGCCTAATGGGCCTTGTGATGAGCATTCGAGTGCTGTAACTTCGCCAGAACCAACAAACCATGAAAATTTATTAATATTATATGCTTTCAAGGCTGCCCTGGTTACCTATGGAAATTTTTTCAAATTTAATAAGCAATATTTTGTATCTTTACTTCTCGAACGGATCTGTAATGCTCGAACCAGTTGCACTATTCAGATAAATCAACTATTTGAAGTAATTAAAAAATTAACAGAGGTTAAGTTTTTTAACAATAAACAAAATTTAAAATGATTAGATTTAAAAATGATTAGATTTCAAAAAATAATCTTTTTAATTTGGATGTATTTTTTGCGCAATGCAGAAAAGAAAATAAAGTATCTTTTTTCAGGTATTTGTCAGATAAAGTATATATTGTCCAAAGATAAAATTAAAACAAATAAAACTAAATTAATTTGATTTTAACGCACTATCACTAACCAATGATACGTAGGGTTTAAAAAAGTCAGCACCGCCCACATCGGGGATGTAGCTCAGATGGTAGAGCGCTCGCTTAGCATGTGAGAGGTACGGGGATCGATGCCCCGCATCTCCAAGTGGATTTCTTTTTTTTATTTGGAAATGAAAATTATAATTTTATAATCACAAAATATAAAAGAACTTTTCCAAAATGTAAGTATGCTCTCTTATAGGTGCACCGAAAACTCTCGAATTTTCGTTTTACCCAACCCGCACGTGCCAGCAATTTTTCATTATTAAATGTAAGGAAAAACTTGAAGTTTTCGACTTTTGTTGCTTGATTTTATTTTGCCACATTACAAGCTTTTGCGAGGGCAACAAAAACGTTTTGAATTATGAGTTCTGCGTGCCAGGTGTACTAACAGTTTTAGAAACCGGCGAATATGCGACATTTAAACACCCTGAAATGCGCTGCCTCTTAAAAATTCACCAAACATAAAATCAGGAGAAACACAACCTGCTAAGCAAAAACCACATACCCATCATTTACCTGGAGGCCTGCGAATAAAGTGTGCAAAAAACAGGTGACAACAATCAGTAAGGAGTGAAAGGGGGGAAAAGGCCCGTCCGTGTCTGGAAAAACAAAAACAAGACCCCACAAGGGCTGTGAAAATTCACGCGCCCGTGAAAATTTCGCACGTTTTTATGGACCATGAACTTCGTACACCACCCACACACACAACATCCAGTCATCCTTTCAAAATTTGAGTAATGGCCACATAGATTAGCTGGCGACCATTTGATTTCTCCAGCCCGAAATTCATTTAATTAAAAAAATACGCAAAGTCAACAGAAAAACTACAAACGAAATTAGAGTCCCCGAGAGAAACTTTCCATAAACTTTGTTGCCATCAAAACAATAAAAACCGCAATCCTGGGCAGGACTTTGCCTTTGTTATCGAAGCTCGAAGCGGACAATGGAGTGTCCTTTTTTACGACAAAGCCAAATCCGGCGGAACCACATAAATTATGTTAATGCCTAAGCTATGTACACGCCCACTGTACTAGACTTTCCCTCCCTCCGTTCGTCCGTCCGTCCGGGGTAATCAGAAAAATACACAGCACACATCGGGTGGACAAGGGACATTTGCTTAGTGGTTTTGTGCGATAGTTTCTGGACTGTCCATTGAGAAAATTGCTGACAATTGCTAAAAACCTCGGGTGACGATGAGGTCTGGATCAGCTTTTTTCGGGGTGGGCGTCAGAGCATTGCAAATGATATATGTTTGAACACATGTTTGGTGCGGGGGGACGGTACCCCAGACTGGTCAAATATTAGGGGGATATTTTTCCGTCGAGATTGCCAAACTTTGAGATCATCAAATAAGGGCCATCCAACCAAGTTTCGCATCCGATAAGTGAAATCCAACAGCAGACGAACAGATATTAATTCTCGGGAGGAAATTAGAAGAGGACATTGCTGTATCCGACTTACAAACAAAAGGGACGCTGTAAATTAAATTCATAAAAATGATATAGCATTGTTTGGCTTGTCAGAAGTTTGTTTTCCGTCCATTGTTACATAATTATATGCCCCGGAGTTATCGGTAGGCTTGAGTGCGTTTGGGTATGAAAAAAAGCAAGATAAGCCAGGGGCCGTTGCATGTAAATAAATTGAAACAAATAAGCTGTCGGCTAATTGCAGGCAGTCCCCTTTATCGCGACAGGCGAGTGAAATTGAAAAGCCGTTCGTTCCATTTGCAAGGCAAATATGGTCCTTTCCTTTTTTCACCTTGCGGTGGACAACATCGCAACATGCTGTCGAACATTTCCGCCGGACTGTTTCCGTTATGCAGCGCCGTTGCAAGGACAACAACAGGTGGATGGGATGCGGCGGAGGATGTGCGCGGAACTGGTGATTCTGAAAACCTGGCCACTGTTTACGCAGACCAAACTTTTTGTCAGCTGTCATCGGGGCAGACGTACAAAAGGAAAACGAGAGTTTACCCTTTATTCCGATTCCAACAAGTCGCAGGCTCCAAGACTGACAGCTGCAACGTACTGCACTGGATGTGTGGCAAGGAAAAAAAGTGAAAAAAATATACACCCACACAACTTTGTGCTCGAAGGCCCCGGCGAGATTCGAACTCACGATCTCCTGTTTACTAGACAGGCGCTTTAACCAACTAAGCCACGGCGCCATTTGCGCCATCATTTTAAAAGATTTAAAAATAGTTCAAGTTCAAATAATAATTTTTAAATTTATAACACCAATTAAAAAATATAATAATACCAATAAAAATACCAATATAATACCAATAATAAAAAAAAATAAACACACTTCAAATTTGTGTAGGCCCCGACGAGATTCGAACTCATGATCTCCTGTTTACTAGACAGGCGCTTTAACCAACTAAGCCACGGCGCCACTTGCGGTATACCCGAAAATTTCGAAACATAAGTGGTGGGAATATTATAAAAGTTTCATGGGTCACCAAAAATAGTTAGAGGTCATATATTGATTTTAAAATTTATACCACCCATTAAAAAATAGAAAAAAATTAAATTTAATTTTACCCAATAAAAAAAAACACTTCAACTTGTGTAGGCCCCGACGAGATTCGAACTCATGATCTCCTGTTTACTAGACAGGCGCTTTAACCAACTAAGCCACGGCGCCATATGATTTTGGTGGGACCAACGACTGATAATTGCCTCGCCCAATTTAAATTTAAATGATCTAAATTGTGGTGGTGGTCTAAAATTAAATTGCAGACGAATTGATCTTAAAGAAATTAGCAAAATGTTATATTCAAGAAATAGCATCTTCCAAATGCTATAGCTAAAATTGTTTAATAAAATGTATAACATTTTTAATGGGAAGAACCAAAGATATATAAGTAGTATAGGGAGTCCCCGATGAATTTATTTCACAATTGCTGAAGGGGGAAAACAAATGCATATAGCTGTGTATCATCGGCTGATTAAGAGATGGACAAGAGAAAATTTTACGGGAATGTACCATTGATGCGTGGGGTACTTTTGTGACAAAAGGCATCGGACTATAAAAGAGACAGTCGGGCATTTTCAGTCATTCAAACTACGAAGAACAGCCCAATAAGAAAGGTAAAATCAAGAAATCATCTAGAATGGATTGTCAAGCAACAGGAAACCCAAAGACTGGAGAGGCAACCGCCCGATGCGGAGTGATGGTGGGTGACGATCTGGCCAATGCTCGGGCCGGAGTATTCGCCTCCACGCCAGGAGCTGTTGGACCAGTCACCAAAGGAGTTTATGGAGCAGTGAATGCGTAAGTTATCCTTAGATTGTCCAAGAGCACAAAAAATTAATCGTATAATTTTATAAATATAATATCGCAGCAATGGACATGGCCTCTCGCTGCAGCATGGTCACATTGAGGGCGTGGGCAGCACCACCACCGCCGCAGCCCAAGCCAATCTTCTCCATAACCAGAACACCTCTCTCAATGCCACTGGCTTCCACAGTCACAGCCGATCCCACGATCAGTTTGGCGGCGGTCTTAATCTGCAGACAGGTGCGGGTCACCAGGCTTCTGTGGGGGTCACCAGGGTGCCGCAATTCGATATGACCACCATTCAAACTACGGGAAGGGCCAACCTGTACACCTCTCCCAGTGGCAACCTCAATCTCAATGCCACCGGAAGTGCCAATCATCACTTGAGCGGACCGAGGCGTGGCAAGTCCGATTTCGGCACCGGACTTAATTTGCGATATGATTTCTAAGTTTTTTTGTAAACTATCTCCATTTGAAAGTATTTAATTGCAATATTAAAATGTGTGAAACAAATTTTAAAGAATAAATAAATTACAATTTTCCAAAAGTTTCAAAAATGAAATCTATTTTGATGTTATAAGCTGAACAAAACGTCGGCCTTCTATATGAGACTCAAAAAAAGTCCATAAGTCCTTGATACCTAGAAATTTTCTAGGTATAGAAAGCCACAAATTGGAATTCTTTCAAGTCCAATGAAATAATATTTATGTATTTTTTGTAGATATTTAATGCCAGTAAATTTTCCATTTATTTTTAATTTAAAATTAAAAGCATTGATGTTCAAGCTGCTTTCCTGTAAAATCGTTTCCTACTCGGCAGCAAGCATTATCAAACTGCTCAAACTGGTGTCAATGCTCGCATCGATTTCGCATAATTCATCAGGCGAAATTCCCACAATAACGAAACCATTTGGGGGAAATCCTTTGGAGTTCGGAAACCCATCCACAGATGAACGTAGCCTATGGGAAACCAATTTTTGACTAGTCAGCTTTTCTCATTTTTTTTGCAATGTGTGCAGGCACCGCAACCGTTAAGTGCCATAAAAATAATTCAAAATAAATTGCTTTACATAAAAATTTGGTTTCGGCAAAGACGCGCAACTGTTTTATAAGGTGTATAATTTGGCCATAATAATGCGCATCATGGCAGCACCCATCGCGGGGTTGGTTATTAATTCTCGGTCGACGCGTCGCGGAGGCCGAGACATAAATAAGGCGATATACTTTGCATTTTTCGCAGACACGGCGGAGTCCTAGTTAAGCCGTAAAAATTACACCAGCCAGTCGTGAAGCCCTGACTTTGACTTTCTGGCAGGACCAACGCAAGTCATGTCAGCTGGCCTAATCCCCAGGTAGATATCCGCCTTGATTGGCCGCAATGAAAGATGCCAAGTCAATATTTTTGATACACCCAAGTGGCCTGGTGAGTGGGATAAACGCTGACTTGTAATGTCGTGTAATTAGGGTCATAATCGGCTTGCCACTTGAGGCCTTATCCCGCGGCCCCAAAACGACTTTGTTATGCAAATGTCGGGGAAAACGAGAATATCCTGCTGTTAACACATTTTTAAAGATTAGGGAATTTAAATTGGACAGAATTGATATCAGCTTTAAATGAAGACCATTTTGATTTAATTCTTTACTCTCTTTTACAATTTGTTTTTATAAAACTCATATATTTTTCCTTATTTTAGCACTGGTTTGGAAAAAACCCCTTTAATCGCACCCTCTGCAACACTGGAAAATCAACAAAGGGTCTTCGTTGACAACCGTTTCCTGGCAGCCAGAAAGCCGGACTAATAAACATTATTTATCTTTCAACTACATCAGTATCCGGAGTTTACATCTTTCGAGAAACTACATTTATTCAAATGGATTTCACGTACTGTGAGTTCCCCAGCACCGTTTCCATTGACACCTTCAAGGCCTATTTCAATCTCGCCGATGTCAAGTTGCCCAAAGTCGCCGGTAAATCATTGGACACCATCCAGATCCCCAGCGAAGGCCAGGAGAGCCAGCCAAATCAAGCGAAAAGTCTGCGACATCTTGTGCTCGATGCTATTGTTGAGAATTGGAGTGGTGAGCTTGTAGCTATAAAATGGCTAAAATTAGAACATATTATTTTTTTAAAATATTTAAACAAATTTTCATTTGTCTTTATCACCAAAGATTTGTAGTTATTTTATTTAAAACCTGGAAAAAAATTCCTTTTGATATCACCATATCAAATCTTCTTCTTTTTTAATAATTTTTAAGAATTGAATTTTTAGTGAAAAGGTAGCCATACCAACAGGCTCTTACAAAATTGATTAAATCCAGACATTGCTCATCCGCAGAGTTGCCGCTGTTCCGGCAGCTGGGGCGTCGCGAGGACCGCAACTACCTCCTTAGCCACCTGGACACTCAGCTGCCGCTGCAGCTGCTCAGCGCCCACATCCGCGAGGACTTCTTCTGGCAGCGCTGTTACGGCCACCGGTGGAGGAGCGCCCCAATTCAGGCGCGGGGCAGGGAGCGGCCCTGGATCAACATCTACATGGAGCGACATGTGCAGGAGTTTATTGAAAACATGCCGACGGGCGACTACGAACAGGAGGGCAACGTGCAGGTCGTCCTGGACATCTGTGCGGCGTACATAAATCAGTTGGAGATAAGTTTTCTTCAGCCCGCCCCGCCCACAACCGATGCGAATGGTGAGTTGGGGATTCCCTGGTATTAAATAAAGAAAGGGTTTACCTGATTTAATTTAATTTACATTTTTAATTTATCATAAATTAAACTTAAATTGAGCCTTAATGAAATGTATAAATATAATTCAATGAAGATCAAAGGTTATTCTATATAATACAATTCACAAAGAAATTCGTACCTATTATTAAAATTCTACAATCTGCATGTGCATTGTTAAACAGTTTTTAGAACTGTTGATCATTAACTATAGTTATTTAGTTTGTTTTTCTATGATTTTTATAATATTTCCAAGTGCATAAATAATTCGTTCTTGCTACATGACATTTTAAATCCTTCTGCAGATCACATTCCGCTTGATTACCTGCTGAGCAATCTGCCGGATTTACGCCAACTGCGACTGAGTTACAGTACCAAGACGGTCGGCTGTAATTACCAAATGGGCTGCAACCAACTGACTGTCAGGGATATTCTGCACTTGACCAAGGGACTCAGCCAGTGCCACGAGCTGCGAAAATTCTGGTGAGGACTAAAATCTCCACTGGGTTGTTATTCTGCAATCGCTTATGCTTTTCAGCCTGCACAACACGAAGCTGATGCCGTATCAGTTGCGATTTCTGGCCCACAGCCTGGATAAAGGATGTCATCACCTGAACGAGATGTCCTTGCTGCACTGTGCGGTGGGGGATGCGGGAATTCGCTGCTTCTTGGAGACCTGCGGCCGAGAGTCCTTCGGCACTCTCACTGTCCTTGATTTGACCAACAATAAGATCAGTAGGTTGCATTTAATATTTATTTACATAAATCCATCTTTATTTTCCAGCTGAAGAAGGTGCCTACATCCTTAGTCGCACCTTAAGGCATGTGCCCCTCAATCAACTGGTTCTGCGTTTAAATCCAATTCAAAGTGACGGAGCTGCTGCGATTTTTAACACCCTTCAGGTGATGCCCATCAAGGAACTGGACTTGGGAACCTGTGGTATTTCAGAGACCATTACAAAGCTGTTCATGATGCTGATTTGCCAGCACACCACTCTGCTGGACATTGATTTATCAAATAATTCCCTGGGAGAGGTGGGCTAATCGGAATTCTCACTGTATGCTCTCTTAACTAAATATATATTTTTAGGACTTTGGCAAACATCTTATGAAGATCATTAGCTGCAATAAAGTTCTTGAAAAGTTGGACCTTCGGAATACGGGTCTTTCGTTAGACATGCGTAGGAAATTTCAAGAATTCCTAATCAAAAATGTGGAACGCAAAAAACACGAGGCCTTGAAGCAAAAGCAACGCGATAAGTTTAAGGCCATGATGCAGCTATAAATACCTTTAAATTATATTTATAAACAATCCACCTATTCTTTTGAAAAAAAAATTCAAAGGCGATGCCTCTGATCTAACTATTACTGTGTTTATACGATGCCGAATTCACGCTATCATTTCACGCTTTCGGCCGATTCGTGCTTGTATAAACGCCATTTCGTGAATTCGGCAACACACGAAAGTTGACTATGATTTCAGCCCAAAAGCGTGATTTGGTGATATGCAGTATGGTAACTCTGTAAAAAATGATCGACGTTGCCAGATCGCTAGAAATTGAAGGCCTTTTATAGGCTATATCTCTAATCAGTGGTATTAAAAATTAGATATTTTTACCGGTCCGGCATCCCTATCAGCTGAGAGTGAATAAAAGCATGAATTCTCGGCTGTCGTATAAACAGGGGTTATTTCTATTTCGCGCTTTCAAGAAATCGTGATTGCTATCGTATAAACATAGTATATATGTATTTGTGAAACAATCATCGAAATAAACCAATACATTTTTAATATCAGGTTTAGCCGAATAAAATGTTTACATTAAATTATTAATTTTAAACTTTAAAATTTAAAGGAAATGTCAAGGTCAAATATAAGGCATTTAAATATAAAAAAATTTTAACTGTTTCCGCCCGGGATTGAACCGGGGGCCTTCCGCGTGTTAGGCGGATGTGATAACCACTACACCACGGAAACTCTGATGGGCTCAAATTCCTTCATAGACAAGATAAGCTAACGGTATTTAATATATAAAAAAGATAAAACAGGAATAAAAACAAAATGTGTTAAATACAATTAGAATTCTAATTGTATTTATAAGATAACTTTAAAAGTATTCACATATATAGTCGATTTTTTTGGGTTCTCTTCCTCCCTTTGTTGGGACAACTTAAGCAGCAACCGTGAAGCAACCTCGAAGCTTTCAAGCCAACTTTCATTAACCCTCGACCTTGTTGACTTAAGTCAACAAAAACAATGCTAACCCCATCAAGATTGCCGGGGAGGACCCAACTCTCTGACCCCATCTGCCCCCTTCTAATGGCCTGGCCCCAAAAACAACGGCCAACTAAGTGGAAACACTTGAAAATGAGTTGGAAAAAAGGTAAAAAGTTGCTGAGAAAATAAATAAAAAGAAAATTCAGTTTGTTGCCATTTTAGTGGGTGTTGTTGTTATTTGGCGCTCTTATTTTTGTAGGGCTAGTTTGTTGTTGTTTGCTTTTGTTGCTCTTCTTGGCACGCAAAGTGTAAAAATTGTTTGTGCTTTTGTTAATGGCATTTTAAGTGCGGTTGGGTTAAGGATACTGTGGTACAAAACAGGGTAAGGTTTTATCTAAAAGTATTTGCTATTAATTGGATTAATTTCAACGAGCCTTTGGGAAAGGTGACAGATTTTTCTAAAAAGGGTGCCGTAAGAAATGTCCAGTCCTTAAAAATTTATCATATTAGTCAAATAAAGTCAAATTCTTTAACATATCCAGACATATCC